TTTAGAGGGAAATGAAGCAGTAGAGGCAGATACTGGTACTTTAGTTTTAAGATGTTCCAGAAATAAATGCTATTCAAGGCCTGGAGTATTTAAAAGTGTAGGAAAGGCAGTGAACCAAAGAGCCCACTAGAGAGGAAAAAGTTCCCACAGACAATGAGAAACACAAGCTTTGAAGCAACAACAGTAATTCAGTCCAGGAATCTTTTTTCTAGACAGATTATAATTCTAAGCAATTTCATAGCAAGAGGCAATGGAAAGGACCCCCTGGAACCGAGGACTGAGGGGTCTGCTGACGGCCTGTGGACGAGGCCTACATTCATTTCAGCACTGGGATGCCAGGGACATGGAGCTCAAAGGGAAAACGGAAAATTAGAGCTTATGAATAACTAGGAAGGCAGGAGCACATCAAAAAAAGCCTGGTTATTTGGGCTGCCACCAACACAAATTTCTAACTTTGCAAGAAGATTGTAACGTCTCTAATGCTACTATCTTAGAAACAAGGCTCCCTGCATATCCCCAGTACCACTGCCACCACCCCCGGGCACAGAATGCAGACACATGGTGTCAAAATTAACTACCAGATGGGAGACTGATCCAGATTCAGTGTGAATTCAGAGACTATGAACTTCAGATAACTAGCCTGGACTCACTGGCATCATGAAGAGGTTTCCTCTCATCTAGTACCACTGAATCTCTACTGGAGTCACCAGTGACACTGACTCTGGGCTCTGGACACATCATTTTACTTAATGTGTTTCCTCGATTTGGTGAATCGGGGCCAGTACTGTGATAGTCTTCTGTGTTCTGGTAAGTCTTTAAACACAGGACAGCATGGAGATGCATTCAGGATGCTCCCTTAAGGATCTATATCCATCCCATAGAAGAGAGCCCAGGTTCAGCTACCAAGATAGCTTAGCTCTACCTGACAGCAAGGACCCCTTTAGCTGAGCGTGGGCAGAAATAAGAAATCGGACAAAATAAAGTATGGACTTCAATTTTTGGATCTTTAACACAAGTGCAAGTGAATAGAATTTTGACCTTTGATTCTTTTGACCTCCAAAATCTTTGGACTAATTTGCATGAAATTTAATTTTTAAGTTTAATTTTCTCCCAGGAAAATCCATCGAAAAAGGCAGTTAATATTCAAATTTGAGACTTTGTACGTTTGTGGCATTTTTATGATCGTAATTTGTTTATGTTGTTATTTTATTTCATTGCCAAACCTGTGATGACCCTCCTGAGGTTAAAAATAAAACACTGCCTACCATCATCCCAAAAAAGCTACAGTCGATGTTGGGGGGAATAATATTTTGACGGTGGGGCAAGGATTGCCCAAGTAGATTGCTAACCTTGTTTCCCAAGGAGGGTAGCCACACCACTAGTTCATGGTCAAATTTAATTGAGTAAGAGAACGAACACCCGGGCAATGTTGGAGGGTGGGAATCTCCTTTCTCGTGACTTCTTGGTAGCCTTCCTGGTCTTTCCTCATTATCACTCAGTCCTCCCAGAGCTTGTTCGACAGTGCTTGATGGTGCCAGCAGGCTCCCCAGCCTTCTCCCTTCTTCCTGTGGGAGAGCTGCCTGCCTGCTGCGTGTGTAATTGTGTATATTCTGCCCTGTTCCTCCATGCTGGTGAGTATTACAAGGGCCGGCATTCTTTTCTGTGCAGGGAAGTCTGTGACTGGCTGGCTGTGGGGTCATGTTATTAGGATTTGTTCACGTGCAGGTAGAAGAATGAGCCGTCAAGGTTAGCTCTACTACCAAATAAAGGTGATATTTTGGTTTCCATTTATGTGACCTCTGCGTCTTCCTCTCAATTGGTTCTTAAATCAGCCTGGGAATATAAGTGTCAACTTAACTCTTTTAGCTCTGACTGTTAGAATTCCTATGAATTTTTGGAGGAAGAGCTGATGACTTGCTGATTAATTCGGTGTAGAGTGTGAAGGAAAATGACCAACCAAAGATGACCCCTAGGTTTCTGGCTTGAGTGACTAGGTAGAGTGGTAGTGTTTAATATAGAGTAGTTATTACCTTATCAGAATTAGAGCAGGCGCAGTTATGGACAAAGACTGGCATGGCTGTGTCCCATAAAACAGGTATAGGCTGGATTTGGCTCACAGGCCATAGCCACAATTTGCTGACTTCTGCAGTTTACATAACACCTTACATGTATTGTGAGGTTACCTTTCCATACTAGAGAGCAATGGCTAGTCCCAATACTAATTAATAAAAGAGGGCTTTACAGTGTTAGACAAGGCTGAGAGAAAAGCAGTACTTATTTGGTTAATAAGTTCCTAAGTTATAGTAGCAAGGGGAATATAACTCCCATACACAGACCTGTAGGGGGCTGTTGGCAGGAGATCAGCAGTTTGATGCAAGATGCCTGAACTTTTTCAATGGATGGCCAGTGCAGAGGTGGGCAGAGGAAGTGGGGAGAAAGAGAAAACAAATCTCCACCAGCAGGATATGAACCTTCCACCTTTTCCCACTCAGCAGCAGGAACAGGTGGAAGGAAGAACTGTGACTCAGCTCCCCAGCAGGGGCTGAGCGGGTTTCCAGGACACAGGAGGAGGACAGATGCTTGCTAATGTTGGGGAAGGGTTACTCCTGGAGAGGAAGGGCGGAGACCACACAGGGGTGAAAAGAAGTAAGTAAAAGCACAGTGATGGTGGCAGAGAAGGGGATGGTGTGATGAGAGACAAGGGTTAATGAGAACAGTTTCCATTGCCAAGGGAATATCAGTTGGGGGACACCCTCAAGGTCTAGTCAGTGAGGCCTATACTCATGGGACTTGCTCAGAGATAAATTAGTTCAGTAAGGAAGGTAATGGCGAATTCTTTCCTTTACAGTTTGGAATCTGGGGTTAAAGAAGAATTATTTGACTCTCTTCTAGGTGTGTGTGTGTGTGCATGTGTGTGTTCACTTGGCTAGGGAAGGGGTATAGACCATCTTGCAGCAACACTAGTCCATGGTGGATACAAGAGACACTGAATGGTATAAACAAAAACAAGAGAAGCCAAGAGAATTATGGTATAATGTCAGTCTTACGATCACGAAGCCACGGAACTGGAAAGGTCTTTGAGAACGTATCTGACCCGGTCTTCTGCCTTAAGAAAAGTTAGTCTTAATGGTGTGCCTGACAGATGATCAGGTGTTTTCCCTCAATAATCCATTCCAGTATTTTTTTTATTCTGGAAGTTTTTCTTAATGTCTAATAGAAATCTCTTCTACTTTAATCCCATTTTCTCTTACTTGATCTTCTGTGGTATAGACAAACCAAAATAAAAGCTCTAGCTCTTTCAAAAACCCTTTACACTCTCAGTCTTTAAGACATAGTAGAGGATCATTTACTGGGTTGGCCAAAAAATCTGTATGTTTCTTTTCCATAAAACAGAAGACACATTTTTCATTTTCACTAATAAGTTTATTGATTTGGATATTTTGAGTATGTTGGCTATCTCCTGCTATTGGCTTCTAGTGGGCAGAGGCCAGGGGTGCTGCTAACCATCTTCCAATGCATAAGACAGCCCCACAGCAAAGAATTATTTAGTCAAAATGTCATTTGTACTAAGAAACTTCGCAAATCACTTTTGACATGTTCAATCAGTCATAGCACCTTCTCCATACACTGCACAAATCTTTTTTGTGTGTGTTTCAGTTACATTTTTTTCTTTTCTTGAAATAATAAAGTATGATACACGGAAAATGTTGCATATCTTTTTCCATCTTCAATATTAAAGTAGCTGCACAAAAATTCACCTATTTTGATGTTTTTAAAAATGCATGCTGACATGACAGCTGTCACAATACAATCTAACAAAATTTTTTTGAATGAAGCTAAAGACAACTAAACACTACTAGAGCCATCATATGGGAAAAACAATGGATGTTTTGGCCGACCCAATATTAGGACATTGAACCCTGAAATGTCCTGTTGCTGCTGATTCAAACAACAGAATTAGGATGACAAGTCCCCTGCGAGTGCTGGCCCGGCAGCCCATTCGCTTAGTGCAGATCGGGTGGTGGTGCAGTTCATAATGGATACGTAGAAAATAAGTGGACATTTCAGGTGAAAGAACATCATACATCTTATGAAATAAAGGTCGTTTACTGATCAGCAGAAAAAACTACTGTTGTTGTGTACAGGCCAAAATAGACATTTGCAAAGGAAAATGGCAGCTAAAGCAAAGCAAGATGAGTCTGTGCAAGAGAGCATTGCGTTCCCATCTCCTCTAGTTTTGAAGGAAGCAACTTTCACTTCTCTTCAGGCAATCAAAAAGTGCACAATCCGTAAATATGCCTTTCTTTTTATTATTGCATACTGCTTTGGGGAGTTATTTTAAGAAAATTAATTTGTGCACACACACAAATTCTAGTTTTTATAGTGTGAGAACTGAAAAGCATAACTTGTTGTTTTTTAAATCTTTAAATATTTAGGGTTCTTCATAATGCGTTACTTTTTTTGTTTGTTTTGGCTTTTTGGCAAACCCAAATATCTTTTCTTGATGCAAAATAACAGCAGATCTTTACTCCATTTTTTTATTTAATTTATCTTTATTAGATACAATGTTCTCCAATCATACAAGGCTTTTTTTAAGCTTACACATTTATTTTGATCATGAAACACATCCCACTTTAGAAATCGTGTACTAATCAGGCTAGGTTAAACTGTGCTGTAAGAACAAATTAGCTCGTGAATCTCCTAACATAACAGAAATTTTTATGTGTTGATCACATGGCATGTTTTATTTGGATCTCTGGGGAGCTCTTTCCCACACAGTCTCTCCAGTTCTTGGGCTAATTGGGAATCTGACGGCTTGTAGCTGCCTCACCTGGGAGACGAGCCACCTGGTTGCTGCCACAGAAGACAGCTGCAGGGTCATATACCAACTCTTCAGTGCTTTGCCCCAAATGACTTGATAAGAGGTCTTTAGTTTTAATTTAATTTAATTTAATTTTTATCCCCACTGGAGGACTTTTTTTTTTTCCCATTGCTTTTAGAGAGAGGAAGGGAGAAAGGAAGGGAGTGGAAGAAACATTGATTTGTTGCCTCCCTGCACACGCCCGGACTGGGGATTAAAGTGGCAACCTAGGAATGTGCCCTGACTGGGAGTCGAACCTGTAACCCTTCAGCTATGGGAGGATACCCAACTGAGCCACACTGGTCAGGGTAAGGTCTTTGTTTAATTCCAGTGTTCTTTTGAAGTTCAGAATGATCTCTTTAGTTAGGTCCAGTTTTGTTAGCCTTTTTTTTTTTTAATGTGTTAGCATTCTTAGATGTAGACAAAAGAATCAATTCCAAGTCATTTAAATGCGAAGGGATTTGTAAAGGGAGATTTGAAAGTCTAAGCAGTCATTGGAAAGGCAGGAGGAACAGGTTCTGGGTTCTAGGTCAAGTCACCACCAATCCCAGAACCAAACTGTCTCCCTGGCAATGGGGACCCTGCTTCTCCCACTGCCGTCCCCAAAACGATGGCATTGAAACCACTCATGCCCGCAGAATTGATATCTGGACCCTGTCTGCTCTTCGGGCAGCTTCTGACGGGGGCGACTGAAGGCAGAGACTGAGTTATAGAACCTCCCCCTCGACTCAGAAAGAGGCGAGGGAAATGAGCATATTTTAAGTTTTAGCATTTACTTCTGGAAGACAGAATTCACATTGTGGAGAATCATAAAAATGTGGGGTAGTTTTTTCAAAAGATTTGGGACTGCTATGAATCACAGATATTTACTCTACTTTCTTTTATAGATCTCATTTTCTTTGTACAATGCTTATCAATTTTTTCTTCTGTTACACAAGTAATACAACCAGAGATAGGAAGGAAGCACTCACATTGCCACCACCCTAACACAGCTACTCTTATTATTTTGGTATATTTCCTTTTTGCCATTTTCTGTGCAGAATTCTTTTTCTATAAAATTATGTGACAATGAATATTGATTTCCTAGTGAAATATTCTAACACAAACATTTCCCCCTTTGTTGCCATATTATCTTCAAGATCATGAATTTCAATGGCTGTGCGATACTGCACCAGTTGGAATGGCTTTACTATGTAAATTTACTACGTAAATGTAAGTTCTCTGATTACAGTTGTAAACTGATTCTGTCATTTATACTGCAATTACATCAACATCTTAATAGTCACCTTAGTTTGAAGTTTTCATCAAGATGTTTGACCTCACAGAGAGACACAGTCCAAGACTCAATGTAGATAGGGGAGGAAATGTCAAATTTCCAGGAAATTGTTTCACTTAAGTACAAAAACATAATCTTTACTCTTTAGAAAAAGGGACTTTTGATATGTGTCATCCATGCTGGCAGTCAGTCTTACTTTATATAATGCCAGATCATTTAAAAAATTCTAGATAACCGTTCCATTATTTATTTGCTATGTCATCATAGATGTAATGTGGTTGCCAACTATTATACACAGCAAAGCCCAGTTTTGTTAAACTAGTGCCCCCACAAAAGTCACATGCACTGTAGCCTTAAGAAAAACTCATTGATTCATTTGAAATATATGTATTCAACACTCACTCTTCCAAAGAACTCCATTACACACAAGGAATGAGTAACATATGATCCCTGCCTTGGAGAGGTTTGTAATCTCTGATCAGGGTCTTTTTTCTCTAAAGCAACAGTAAGCTGCATGGCCTTTTAAGTTATATTTAAAGGCACCAAAAGAACGTTGGATTGATAGGAGATGAGTTTTATTCGCGGTTTTAGCCCTGTGTGATTTTTGACAAGTTACCCAAACTCTGGAGCTTAGTTTCCTCACCTGTGAAAGGAAGTGATTCGACTGGGTGAGAGCTCAGACTTTTCATTGCTAACATCCTAAAAATAGGTGAAATATTCCACAGGCTACCAGTGGTTGTCTATAAAAAATTATATATATTTATTATACATGGGTATATTTATATACTCACATACACATATGAATGATACTTGTTTTGAAAAAGCATAAAATGGGTATGCTGTATAAAATGCACGAAGTACGAATATAATCTTAAAATCTATCATGAAAAGAACAGTTACCCCTGAAGAGTCATCTATAACACTTGTAGTATGGAAGTCTTGATCTGGTTCGATTCTGTGGAAGTACCAATGAACCACTGGACGAAATTCTCTCAAAAGGGATTATTTAGGTACAATACCATGTTTAGGTACAGGATTCAGCTGAAAGGGACTACTTGCTATTTGTAAGTGCCTGATGGACAGCCAGCCTTGGAATAAGATACTTTTCCAAGTGAAATCCCATTTAATCCTCACAGCAGCCCTATAAGGGAGGTATCATGATTTGTTTTATAGATGAGGAAACTGAGACTCAGGAGGTTAAGTAATTTGTCCAAAGCCGTCCAGCCAGCTCCTGGCAGAGCGGCAGAGCCAGTTTGTCAGCCCAGGCCTGTCCGACTCCAAAGTCCTTGCTCCTGCCGTTCCAGCCTATTTTGTGGATCTCTCTCACCAGACTTAATGAATATTGATATTCCCCTTATGATAATAATCATATCTTATTTGAACTAATGTCTCATATCCGGATGTAGTAGAAACCAGTAAATTTTCCAAATGAAGTTTAAAAATATAGTCTTAATTAAAATCTAGTCTTAATTAAACACATACACACACCTGCATATGTACTGGCATTGGTAGAACAACATCATTCATTAGGGCATAAATAATTATTTTTATATTTTTTCTTTCTCGTGGCTCTTTCTAAAATCAGGAAAAGAAGAATTTTCCCCCTGAACCCCTAGGTGCTCAAGAACATTTGAGTCGAAGCTTCTTTGTGAGTCTCGGTCATTCTCAGATGAACCTCAGAGTAGCTTCTTTGGAGGGGACCTCTTTTGTAATCATTATTACTTAGTGTGCAACTGCTACATAAGACTCGAAAATCTTATTGCAATTATTGTCTAATAAATACTTCCAGCAGCTGCTGGGGAGAGTGGTATTTCATAGGAAATCCAAATGAGGTGTGGATATGTTCATTTACTTGGCCGGGGTGACACCTCTGCTTGCCACAGACACAGCCAAAGGAAGGCCAAAGCAGTCCTAGTCATTGGGACAGACACACTGATCCTTGAGTGGAACCACTTAACCGTGCCGCCAATCTGGTCACTGCAGAAAGCCCACTTTGCGGATGAATCAGTGATAGAGGTGCCTTTAAAAAAATCCAGTTTCCAATTTACTACTCGGAACTGATTCATCTTTTTTTCTGGTTACCTTGCAATCAAGTGTTTGCCTTTGAGTTAACCGATTGAGCTTTTCATTCTTATCTTTAATTTTTTGCCCTGATTTCAAAAGGAGAGAAACAATGCTATTTTATGTCATGGGCTTTCTTGTGACCTTTTTGGATTGCTTTAAAAACTTTTGTATTTTTTAAATTTTGTATTAGTTAATACAGATAGTCTTGTATTAACAGAAGGCTTGATGCTAAATAAGAAGTGTGAGGGAGGAGTTGCTGTTCTCCTCATTAACAGAAACCCTCTTGTGCTTGACTTACCCCAGATCCACCTGGACACAGGTCCCTGTTATTAAATCGGTGTTTTCAGATCTATTTTACTATTTACTCTTGGCAAGAAGATCTTTTGTCTTTTAACCTTTCTGATGATTAAGCTGAATGTGTCTTTGGTTTGGATGAAAAATTATGTCATTAAGAGAAGGTAGTAAATTTTTGCTATATGGCTAATAAATAAAATTGTGGTATTTCATATTTAATTTCATGATGCTTTGGATTTGTCATTAATAAGCAGACTCTCCAAGTCACATTATAAGTGAAATGCTAACTTTGTTTAAAATTTTATGTTAGGTCATATGATAATTTGACAATAATCTTGATAGCTACAGAGGAAATGAAACACCAGCAAGATTTATGTAAAAAGCTGTGTCATCCTGCACATTTAGAATCAGAAAAATAAAACTCCAGTAACAAAAGCACTAGGGGGACTTCCGCCAAGATGGAGGATTAAGGTGGATGTGCCTGCCTCCTCTCACAACCAAGTTTAAGGACAACTAAATATTAGCATCAGAAAACACAACCAGAACACGGAAAACTGAACTTTTCGGAAGTCCGCAAACAGCAAATTCTCCGGCCCGGCCGGTAAGAGGCGAAACCGGCGGCGGGTTGAGGAGTTACAAAGGAGAACTCGTTCGACCCGGGCGCGGGCGCGGGACCCAGACGCGCGACTTTTCGGAAGTCCGCAAACAGCAAATTCTCCGGCCCGGCCGGTAAGAGGCGAAACCGGCGGCGGGTTGAGGAGTTACAAAGGAGAACTTGAACGACCCGGGCGCGGGCGCGGAATCCAGTCGCACGGGCTCCAAACCCAGGATTGGACCTAGTGAGCAGCCCACCGGGTGAGTGACTACGGAGGAGTCAGTGGGGAGGCGGTGGCAGAGAGTTGACTGTGGGTGCCCGGTTACGCGCGGGTGAGGAAGTGAGCGGGGGACCGGCGGCGGCGCCATTTTCCCCCGCTCTGACCACGCCCCCACATACAGCGTCACAACCCAGCGACCTGGGACTCCAAGGCGCCGCTTCTCTCACTTAAAGGGCCAGAACAGACCAAAAATGTCGCAGGGGGACCTCAAAGTCCCGGAGATAAATCTAAGTGACGAAGAAATAGCAAATCTCTCAGACGCACAATTTAAAACACTGGTCGTCAGCTTCCTCACAGATCTGGTGGACTATAGCCACAAATTAGAGAAACATATGAAGGCTAAATTAAGGGAAATGAATGGAATTCCACAGGAAACCCATAGAGATGAAAAAAAAACTGGGACTCAACTCAATGGAGTAAACCAGAAGGAAGGAAAAAGTGATCAATCAGAAAGGAATGAAGAAATAAGAATTCAGAAAAATGAGGAGAAGCTTAGGAACTTCCAGGACATCTATAAACGCTCCAATATCCGAATTATAGGGGTACCAGAAGGGGGAAAGACACAACCACCAGTGGAAAAACTATTTGAACAAATAATAAAAGAAAATTTCCCCAATCTGGCAAAGGAAACAGACTTCCAAGAAATCCAAGAAGCCCAGAGAGTACCAAAAAAGTTGGACTCAAGAAGGAACACACCAAGGCATATCATAATTACATTAGCCAAAATTAAAACGAAGGAGAGAATCCTGGAAGCAGCAAGAGCTAAGGGGACAATCACCTACAAAGGAGTCCCCATCAG